ATCTTGGACCATCTTAGATCCTCCCTGTGCAAAGTGAGAATAGCTGTCCTTTTATGGCAAGCTAAGTACTTTATTGCCACAGGGATCCTAGGAAAAGTCAGTAATGCTATAAACCTCTGAAGCAGGTCCTGCATTCCTCCCTCCTGGGCCATTTTTCTCTCCCTCCCCATCTGTTTTTGCTTTGTGGACACACCTGCCAATGAGAATCTGAACTCAGAACTTTGGAGGAGCAAGGCTGCCTTCTTCTGCCTCTGCTCACCTGATGTTTGTACTGGTCTCATGATTCCAATGGGATCTGAGTGCAGGAAGGATAGTACTGCAGGCATGGACAATCTCATTGCTCAACAGCTGGAAGAAATCATCTGTGGGAGACTTAAGTCAATTCTGTTGATCAAATTAGTGCAAAATATATGTCCATTGTGACAGTTATTTATGTATTACCATTACTTATATGCCATCTTGCTCAATACCAAGCCAGCTACAAGTAATGTAAAAATAATAGCATCACAGTAATGCTTATTAACATTTGAAAGGAAATCAGCATCCCTTCTCCAGGGCAGTTGGCGAAAGATGGCTCTGGGAATTGTAAGAGTTCATAAGGAACAGGAGAAGTTTCCTGTCCTCACGTGCCTCCTTCTTTCTGCTGCAGTTCTCCCACATGGCAGTTGATGGTAGGTGCCCCTTGGGAGTGCTGGAGTTCCCTGGAGCAAAAGCCCTGATAGCTTCTTTACAAGCATCTCCTACTCCTCCTCCTCCTCCTCTCTTCTGTTCGATGTGCCATTTGATGTTGCATTCATAAAAGTCAGAGCAGATCCACTGCATTAACAGAACTTAAGGCAGTCATAGGGATGTTAAGCCCCATTAATTTCAATTGTTTTATTCCATGTATGACTCCAACCCACTTGGAATTAAAGCCTTGAGGCTGCTTGAGTTACAAGATAATAACAAAAAACAAACAAACAAACAAATGCATTGGGGCAAAGGCATCCATAGATAGGAAACTGTTTTCAAGTTTGAATTGCTCCTTTACAAAAGTGAAAATAAAAATCAATATTTTTCTTCATTCACTGAGAGAGATAAAATAAGCAAATTGACAAACCTCATTAATTTGCTGGCTATAGTTAATTTGGTGGATTAAGGAGTCCTTGGAAATGCTTCTTTTCATTTTAATAGGCATGGGAACAAATCTTTAACTCTTTCTGTTTTATAGGATCCTTTTTGTGTTTAAAATGTGGAGCAGAAACATTTCTGCATGATTTTCTTTTCAGGACACTCATGACTAGGATAGAGACGTGCATCCTTTGACTGTTCAGCTAGGCATGACAATGTGGTATTGACTGAGATATGTAAGAGAATTCGTACCCTGTTGATAATGAAGTGCCAGAGTGAATCATTAGTGCTCATTACCGAGTTTTGGATTAATCTGGTGCCGTAGAGTTGTAACTCAGGCTAAAAGGAATAATGTGACAATGATGGTAACGAATGATATGTTGCTTTTTTGGAGCAATGTACAATAGTTAGCAAATTATTTATCATAGGATTTCAGAACCACAAGCCATGAGTTTCTTTAAAAACTGTTCTCACATTTGTCAAAATGTAACTTCTCTAGCCTGTTATAATATCTATCAAAAAAATCACTCTGGCACCAATTTTCATTTGGAACTGTAAAATCCAAATCTACAAGTATGCATACTTCTGAATGCAATTCTGATGCCTAAAATCAAGAGAGGGCTTGCAACAGAATGATTGTTCCAGTCTCATGTGTAAGTATGCAGAAATAAATCCTAGTTCAGAAATAGGGTTGCTTAGCACGCAAAAATAGCCAATGCAACAGCAATTCTAAGACTTGTGGGGCACGTGAGCTGTGGGAAGCAGCTGAAGACAATTAGGCAGATCTCCAATAGGGCCACTGTGGTGTTTAGCACCAAAGTTTCCAAGTAAGGCCACAGGGAAGGGATCTAGAGGGCCATGGAAGTAGGGAAGTGATCTTGAGAAAGAGCTGGAAAACCAAGGGATCAGTTCTCCACTGTAGATATTCTCACAGGGGCATATTTGCACATTCCCCCAGCTTTAGGTCTTCTGGAGACCAGTGGAGGGCATCATATAGACTGGTGGTGGTGGTGGTGGAGAGTTTTCAAAAGAGAATGAAGAAATGTAAGAACTTACATGGATTATTGGCATATGACAATAAAGGTAGACCTTTTCTAGTCCATACCAAAGGTCTATCTAGTCCAGCATTATCTTCTCACAATGAACAAAGAGATGCCCATGAAGAAAGCCCACAGGGAAGACCTAACTCAACAGCACTGTTTGTGTTCCCTAGCTATTATCCAGAGGCATTCCGCTTCTTATACCAGAAGTAATATATAGCCATCATGATGGGCAGCTATTGAGATCCTTATCCTCTATGAATCTGTCTAATCTTTTAAAGACATCAAAGTGGTTCGTCATTAAATTGTGGAGGCAAATTCCATAGTTCAGCTGTGGGAAGTTTTTCTTTGTTCTAAATCTCTCATTTAGCTTTCTTGGATGACTCCAGGCTTTAGTATTATGAAAGAGAGCAAAACCCTATCCACATAGTTGTTGACACTCACTGTTGACACAAACCTGAAAGGTTAGTGATCCCAGGACTTTCTTTGGTTGATTTCTCTTTGGCACAATCTCTCCTCCTTTATGTTTGATTTACTTTTTTCCTTAATATTGTTTTCCACCAATATACTCCTGCCTAACAGTTAGTTAGATGTTATGCTAACTGGTATAGAATTTCTTGGATCAATCTTTAAAAAATGGAGTTACATTATCTAGTTTCTAGTCCTCTGGTACGGAAGCCCATCTTAGGGGCATGTAACAAATTTTAGGGCATTAAGCAATTTCACCTTTGAGTGAAGAGCTCTCACCTGATGATTTATTTGTTTTTAATATGTTAGGAAGAGTAACTCAGATCACTCACCAGTCCTCTGGTGGTGCCACTGAGAGACAGCTTCCTCCAAGCAACTAGAGGGTGATGCTTGAAGAACTCTCAGAGCCAACAAGCACCACAAAGTACTATGTGTGAGTTTGCATTCTTTGGCTCTGTGAGGTGCCTCCATGGTACTGCAGTGACTGGGTGATCTAGAACCACATTGGGTGATCTAGAACCACATCAGTCATTGGGCATCCTGTTCCACAGTTATAGCTAATGCTTCTAAACTGTGCTCATGGTCACTGAAGGGACATTTTACTATCCAGCATTATAATGGACCCTGTTTATAATGGAGGGAAATGCCACCCCAGTGGGCAACAACCCCAGTGGTTAGAATGCCTGTAAGATACAGAACAGGGAATGGAACCATTGTGGGACAGTTTAGAGGGTCATCAAAGGGTATGATGGATCAATAGTTTAATTAAATGAGTAGTGGAAGTGGATTTGTGTAATGAAAGCAGGGTGCTCAATTGAGACACAGTAGGAATGCCTGTGGAATTCTCCCCTGCAATTTCTCCCTCCATTTGAGAATTCAGAAAAAAACCTGCCTCCATATCTTAAAGTTGTCCTTCATGAGAAGAAATCAACTAAGGTGGAACCCATGGAATAACAGAATAGCAGAAGAAGAATAGGATAAAACTCAAGGAATCTATCTAGTACATTCTTTTAGGACAGGATGGCACCACAGCACACTTACCTTGAATGTACTGTGTGTAGTGAAGAGGACTTCCCCCTGTTTAATGCAGAAGGGTTGTTAGATCAAGGTACACTTTCTTCTCAGGTGTGCATAGTGAGCATCTGTCTGTACGTACATAATTTGGGTGTCTGCACTCTAAACTGTGATTCTGAAGCATAGGATGTAGGTGAGAAGGAATGAGTGTGGGATATTTCAGGAACCCTTTATGGCATGGTGGATCTTCTTTTACGACTCTTTCCCATTGTTTACTTGTGCGGGGTGCTTTGTTCTTATATCTCCAGTGGGTGAATGGAACCAAGGTTCCTGCTGGCTCTCTGAGTCCCAAGAAAGTGAACCTGTACAGCTTCTGTTCAGCAAACGCCAATGTTTGCAATATGCTATTTCTATATTTGTTGTTCTCTCTAGCTGCTTATGCAACATGCTCCGGTTTGATGCCAACTACTAGTTCATCATTATTCTCACCATCAAGACCCACGTGTGTATAGAACACCTCCTAGAGATGAGGTAGGGATGCTTTAGCTCTGTGTCCACGTGTCCTAAGAAATGAGATGCATACCACCTTCCTGGTCTGGGATTTATATACTGCTGGTAGTGTGAAATGATTGCAATCCAGATCCTGTGCTCCGGTGTGGTTGTGTAGCTGGAATAGGACTGATGCAGGGTAGTGATTTTCTTCACCACAAATTTTCAGCTATGTCATATAATGCTAGCATAATGTTACTTAACACTAATTATGATTCTGTATCATAATTAGGAGTGCTCTGAAACTCTTGCAGGCATTTTATGCATTTCTGCTCTTGAAGTTGATACATGAACTTTCATGGAATAACTTGGGACAGTGATTAAGGGTGCATTCTTATGCATTTTCAGACAGAAAAGAATATTTCCTACAACTCACAGCATAGCTGGCTGGGGCATGCTGTGATTCTTCTTTATAGACATGATTAGGATTGCACCTAAAATGAATTGCTGTGGGTCAAAGTAAAGAAGACTAAGTAATGCTTTACAGGGCAATTTTATGCGTGTGTAGTCGGGAGTAAGTCTCACTGAATGCAAAGGAAGTTACTTCCAGGTAAGTGGTTGTTGTGCTCATGCACGACAGTGGTAAAGAACTAGAACCTTAGTTTAGATCCAGCCTGGACTAAGTTTATTTCTAGTGCTGCTTTTAATTGATTCTTAAGTTGTATTTTTTAATGTTCTGCCATTTTTGTTCTTACTGTTATTCCTCTCCATTAATCAATCAATCTCTCTCTCTCTCTCTCTCTCTCTCTCTCTCTCTCCTCCCTCCCACTTGCACCCTTTGAGGAAGTTGCCCTAGCAGTATTGGAAAGACAGTGCAGGATGTGCCCTCTCTGGATTAACACCCTAGTAGTTTGGGTGTTACTAATAGTGGTTGATGGAGATGCAATTAAGCAGACAAGTGCTCCATTATTCCCCCACAAACCTTTCGTGGTGCTTTGGAATGCACCCACAGAACAATGCCAGCAACGGTATAAGGTAGATTTAGATCTTGATGTTTTTGACATCATAGCAAATCCTGGTGAGACTTTGAATGGCCCTATAGTAACAATATATTATCACAATCAATTGGGCACCTATCCCTACATTGAAGACAATGGAGTCTCCATCAATGGAGGTATACCACAGAATGAAAGCCTGTTCAACCACCTCATCAAAGCTCGGTCTGATATTAACAATTCCATACCTATGAAGTCATTCCAAGGACTTGGAGTCATTGACTGGGAAGAATGGAGACCCCAGTGGATTAGGAACTGGGGCACAAAAGATATTTACAGAAACAAGTCTATTCAACTTGTACAGATGAAGAATTCTCAGTGGCCTGAAAGCAAGATCAAGGATACTGCTAAGGATGAATTTGAAAGAAGTGGGAAGAATTTTATGAATGAGACCCTTTTCCTAGCCAAAGAAATGAGATCAGATGGATACTGGGGTTACTATCTCTATCCAGACTGCTACAATTATGATTACAAGAATAATCCAACAAGATACACAGGCAAATGTCCACTTATTGAAATTAAACGGAATGATGAACTGCTTTGGCTTTGGCAACAAAGCTCTGCTCTTTATCCATCCATATATTTGGATGCCATTCTGCAGTCAAGCCCAAATGCTCTGAAATTTGTACACTATCGCGTTAAAGAGGCAATGCGCATTGCTTCCATTGCTAGGACAGACTACGCCTTGCCCGTTTATGTCTATGGCAGGCCATTTTATTCCTGGACATTACAGGAATTGACAGAGGTAAGGGGGTTGCATGCATTAGAAATTAGTACTTTCTTGGTATCAGTACTCTTAATGATTGCCTTATATATGTAGCAGCTTGCATGGATGAGTACTATAATGTTTGCCAACTGAAGTGATGGAAGGTCTCAGTTGAGTTTCTGTCAGTAGGAGTTGCTCTCAAACCAGAAATCTGTGCTAGGGACACTAAACTGCAGTCTTCTCTGAGCTGTGAATGTATCCTGGTTGCATGCAGGGTGAGAACTGCAATCAGGCAGTGTGAGGTGCCCATCTTGTGTGGTGGATTTTAGAGAGGAGCAACAACAGATATTGTTGTATGCCACATCACCAGCTTTGCAGAGAGATCCAGCTGCTAATTCAGCCAGCTTTGGTATATGCAATGGGAAGGGAGCTTTCTGGTTCTTCATTACAGGCACAAAATGTCTCTGGCTGGCATCACACAGGGTTAGATGCTAATGTGATACATTGGATTCATGAAAGACCCCTCTCCATTTTCTCAAGTGACTCTCCCCTTCCTCAGATGGTCATTTGCTGCAAGTACCTGTACTTTTTCTTCTCTAGGTAAGCAAAAAACTGGGGGGCATAGGTGGGCCAGAAAGTGTGATTTCACCACCTCAGTGAGAACTAGGCAGTAACAACTACATCCAGATAAACACAGAGTACAATGTAGGTACGTTTATTTTGTTAGATCAAGCAAATATTGCAGTAGGCTGAGGTCACATACTGAATTTCATAGGCTAGAATGAAATTGTGAGACACTAGATGAAACTAATAACAAATAAATAAACAATCTTACTCATTAAGCATAGTACTGAAACCAAGCAATAATAAGCACTGGGGCCCCCAATGGTTTTGGACCAGTGTGCGCATTTGGAACTTTGAGAGAGGAGCACTCTGGGGGACATGCCTTGCCCAGTCACCAAAATGGCTGGTTGCAACTTCCCAGAAAGTAAATGAATGAGGACAAAACAAAAGTAACTTGCCCAGGAACCAAAATGCAAGGAGTCTTTCACATCACAAAAACATGTTTTTGAATGCTCAGTTTTCTGCTCCAAAAGCCATTTCACAAAAGATAAATGGATGAGGCACAGAGAAAAATAACTTGGTCAAAAATGTGAGTGCAGGACAGAGATGTGTTCTGAGATTCAAGGTTGAATCACATGTTTGGCCATGAAGAAACACTAAAAAAGAATTAGGATGTATAAGGTGCTTGGTGGACATCAAAGAATGTTAGGCATCAAAATGAGAACACCTGAAGCATTAACATACTATGCAACAGAATATAAAATAAAATGAACTCATCTATTAACTAGTACAAAAGAATAAGACTATGTCTTAAAATTCCCCATGGAGCTGACTGAAAATAATCAACGCATTCAGGATTCCTGTCTTCTGTATTTATGGGGCAAATATGTGCATATGCATAAATGTGAGATTATGGAATCACAGTGATTCTACCAGGGCATTTCTGGTGGGTAAAAACCTCGATTTTAGCTCCATACTCAGAAAGCACAACCCTTTCCACTAGCTTTGATTTGGTACTAGCAGGTTTTCTGCGTAGGGCACTTTGAGTACAGTGGATGGTTCGCCTTGCAGCAAAGTGTTCACAACGCCTGCAGTCCAACCCGATCTAGGCCTAAAAACTGCCATGGTTGCTTTAACTGGAGGCAGTCATTCATGTAGTTGTTGTTGTTGTTGTCCTGTGAATTCTTGGTATGAAAAAGGCATTGTTGCCTGTGGTCTCTCTACAGCTCTGGCAAACAGCCTTGGGAGGGTGTGTTTTGTGGCAGTGCCTCACAAACCTCCAAAGCCTGTTTCCCCAGAAGTGACTAAAACAAGAGTGAAACAAATATCTCTGTGCAGCATGGACTGCTATCCCGGCTCTTTGTTTGCTCTACAAGATGCTTTATTATGTGATGCATATTCATATCTCATTTCACAGGAGGACTTGGTCAGCACAATTGGTGAGAGTGCCGCAATGGGGGTAGCAGGAGTTGTCCTTTGGGGAAGCATGCAGTATGCCAGTACTAAAGTAAGTCTGGATTAATAACAAATCCTTGAATGAAACTTTCGTTGAATTCTTCAGAGTTCATACATACTTGCAAATTTTCATTTTTTGAAAACCTCTATAGCTTCATGGGATCTGCCCATTGGACGAAGATGGATCAGGATTTTCCTCTGAGGATTATTCATACCATCATCTTATGACAATCCCCAGGGTTGGAAAGAATATTTAGAAAATTTATGCAATTCTTAAAGGTGTTGCAGTATTGATGTCTTGCCAAGAAAACAAGGTTTTGCCTACATCGTAAGTGGAAAAATGAAAGAAAGCTGGTTAGCTAAAGCAGGACATCACCTGATGGCTCTGTGAAGGTGTGGTTAGATATACATTACCTTCAGTCCTGGAAACAAGTTGGGAAACTTCTAAGCCTCCCATGTCTGCTTTGGACTGCATCTAATTAAAATCTAATTAAATCAATCTAATTAAATCATAGTTTTAACTGGATTTGTCCCGAAATGGCAGGGCCTCTGGGTCCTGTTGCATTATGGAACTGGGAGCACAGCATGATCTAACCAATGCCGTGTGAGCATCTGTAGGTTTGCAGTTGTCCCTACTGTATAATTGCTTGGTTCCTCTCAAAATTTTCATGTTTTGCTAGAATTTTAGAAACCTCCTTTGGTAGACTTGGTAGAGGACTACTTCCTATATTCTCTTATCTCTACCCTTTCAAATATACTGAGAAATAAAAACAAAGGAGAAGCTAAGTGGACTCCCAAGAACTGCTGCAACAATTGGATATCAGGCTGGGCACTGGAGACTTTATGAAGTACAATGCATTCAAAGCTTTGGCTACCACTCCTTGTGGCTGGTCAGATCGGTAAAAGGCAACTTCCATGTAGACACCAAAGAACCAATTGTGATTCAAACTGGTTTGAGCAACGCAGGTAATATTAGTGGGCATATGGAGCAGCTGCTAGATGTTTTGGGTTCTTGGTGAAACCATACCACCAACAGGCTGGGCAGCTTGAATAGGCCTTCTGCATAGTAGTATCCACCTTATGGAAAGCCCTACCTCTTGGTCATTGGGAAGCAGAACTATGGCACAGGTGAGGTGCCTTTTAAAGGTCCGTATCTTGACCCAAGCCTTCCCTGAATTACTATGCTGTTCATTGCATTTGTTTACCATTGGTTTTACACATTGTAAACATTTTAAAAATATCTTATCATTATTATGATGCATTTTAAAGCTGTTTAGAAATGCCTCTAGATATGGCAAACTGTCATGAGCTAGATTTTCCCCTTTAACACTTTCAAAACAACAGAGCGTCTTTCAGAAAAAGCTCTTTAATCTCCAGTGCACTTCCAGCAAGCACACACAACCAAGAATGAGTCTCTGAGCATGCACAGAGCAGTTTGTTGAACCCAATCTAGCAACTATTTCTAAGAAGTCTCCTTTTGAGTACCTTTGGCTCCCCTTCCTCTGGCATGGTCCTTTTGGAGATAGGCAAGCTTCTTTGACCATTGCTCCTCTAGTTGATTGTCCTGTCTCTCCCAGTGTCACATCACAGGGCCAAGAGTTGCATCAGGCTCAGCTGGCTGTAAGAGTTCTTCTCCCATAGCCCCTCACTGCAGCTGTAAATTCTGACCATTCTCAATGTTCTCCAGAACACCTGGGCAGGGTGCCTTTGCGATAAGCCCCTCTATTTCTTCCATTTTAATTTCCAAGAATTCTGGTTCCCAGGGCCCCTCTTCATCTGATGAGTCCAAATCCACCTGACCTTGGAACACGTGCCAAGAATAACTGTCCCTTTCATTCCCAGGAATAAACCATATATAAATTGATTAACACTTCTTCAATCCTCATCTGGCTGTAGTATCAGGCTGTACTGCAAACAGGCTGATTCTGCCAACCAGGTTGTTACCAAAGACATTCTACCTAGACTTGTGAGGATGTAGTCCTTGGCCAGTCCTTGGAAAAATGTAGGAACCATAGAAACAAGAAGTAACTAACTGAGCCATCTTACAGCATATTTAGGAATAAGTGTTTGTTGTAAATAACCCTCATTAAAATAGTTCTGGAGTGGCTGTACAAAATAAACTAGGGAAAGTAAAGTAAATAAGCATCATATCAACTTAGTTGCTGAGTTATGATGGCTGAGAATGGAGTGGCTGAGAAACAAGACCAACTTTGTTCCTAAAGTTTGTAGAAGTAGAAAAAAATTATTATGAAGAACTTGCCTAAGGGCCTTTCCATGCAACTCATTATGCTGAATTTGAAAAACATCCAATATGACAAACCAGGTGGCTTGACTGCTGAGCTGATAGGGAAAGCTGGCCTCTGCAAAGACAGATCTGGGAATTACAGTCTAGAAACATGTGACACTACTAAAAAATATGTTGGGTGCAATTCTGGACTGAAAAAATTCAAAGCCAAATTCTAATATGTCATTAATGTCTAAGGATGCAATCCTATGCATGTTTAGGCAGAACAAAATCCTACAACTGCTGGCTGGGGAATGCTGAGAGATTACGTCCGTTTTCTATCTAAACATGCTTAAGATTGCACGCTAAAAGATGCATTTTAATTCAGATTCACACTTTGTTCACAGGTGTCCCTGGTTATAAAATGTAAGCTCTAAATGTGTGTTGTCATTTTCTGCTTTTGTCAAATTTTGTGTAGCATGCAATGAAAAAGAAAGGATCTCCTTTCCTTTGAGAAAATAAGGGAGGCAACTTCCTGTTGGAATTATTGGAAGTTGCACACAAGTCCCTTCCCCTTTCTTACCCCTTCTTGTCCATAAATGACACACTAGTTCTCCACACCATGAGATCTAGCAAGAGAAACAAGGTTCCTGACATTACAAAGATAGTCAGGGTGGCAGCCTAATTAATTTTTGGATCCTTCAGAGAAGGATACATGCTAGTTATTTACAGCAACTACTTAAACTTTGGTAATTCAGTAGCATAAATAAACATTATAAAACAATGACATCAGTGCACCTGAGCATTAGTCCTATTGAACACAATTGGAATGACTTCCAGGAAGATTTCCACAGGATTGCACTGAAAGTAATCTCTCATTGTCTTTGTTTTCCTTTAGGACAACTGTGTGGCTGTGAAAAAATATGTAGAGGGTCCACTGGGGCATTATATTGTTAATGTGACTTATGCAGCCAAACTGTGCAGCAAAGCCCTCTGTCAGAAGAATGGAAGGTGTATTCGTAAAAACAGTGATTCGTATGACTTTCTCCACTTGCCTTCTGATAGTTTTAAGATTTTAATTGACCAATCTCAGGCAGACAAAAAAGTCACTGTGCAAGGAAGTCTGAAGCAGGAAGATGTACAGGCCATGAACGACAAATTCCATTGTCAGTGCTATCAGGGCTGGGAAGGACTATCGTGTGAAACATCCTCTTCCACAAACTAGTCTCCACCGTGCCATTACCAAACTGATTTTCTGATAAGGCTCACCCATCAGATTATAGTTTTAAAAAAGTTTGATGGAGTTAATCAACAGACACAGGTTTTTTTATTAATAAATTACCAATATAAAGTAATTACACAATAGCTCAAGTACGTGAATCAGTCTTCTCATGCTAAAATCAACAAATATTCCAGACATTTGTCAGAACTGTGGAATAATCCTGACTGACTGTTGCATCAGGTCTAAATGGAGCTAATCTACTCAGATGTGTGTGGGAATTTGACACAGGCTGCAGCTGTCTACAGGATATTTAAATTCTCCAAAGGTACGAAGCATTCTTTTATAACTTTACTACGCACAAAGCTTCCATGCAAGGTTGACATGTTTGTTGCTGGGCTGGATTACTTATAGTTCATCTGTAAACAGGTGGCTTGAAACTGTTCTACACAGGTAGATAATTGTCTGGTACCCCATGGTGGAAAAGATGACTTTCATCCCAGGCTGTTTTAGACTGGTTTGTGTGTCACTTTAGGATGCCATTCAAATTGGCGCTTGCTAGCATGGGCTTTGAGCCGGACTTATCCATGCTCAGAGTGTACCCAATGAAATCAGTGATTAAGTTATTCGTGACTAACTTACCCTTCAATGGATTCTAAGCATAACTCAATCTGGATCTGACCCATGACTTCTGAAACCAATCTAATTTCTTTAATAAATGTTATGATTTAAAAAAACAATATCAATCATATTGATAGTAGAATAATAATAATAATAAATTATAATACTATTTCTTTTAATTATATTGCTTTCTTTCAATAACACAATCTTTTCTTTTAATTGATTTTTGCATTATTTCTTTTATTTCTTTTAATAATATACGAGGCATTTGTTTTGCACTCATCATTCCCTACTCAAAGTTGTTTATGCATTCTTTAGATGAAGTTGTGACCCTCCAGTTTGGCTTCTATCTCTAATAGGCATTTTAGGTGAGAGTTTTTTTTTTTTTTTTTAGAACGGGGAAAATAAAATGTTAAAATGTGAAAGCAATAGGAAGCATTTGCACTATTCTGCTATACCACACTGCCACCTAGAGGTTATATAGTAGAAAGAAAGGAATTGCTCCTCAGCTAGGGCTCAGATCCCAATTGTGCAATGAAACTGAAAGCAGATACAACAAATTAACAGCGTTATGTTGAAACACTGGCAATCTTTCAAAAGCTTTATTTTTACCTGGTGTTTACTCTGAAGACAATAGCCCTTATCATTATGAGGGAGATGGTCAAGGACACTGCATGTTTTTCTTTGTATTACTCATGTCTCCATTGTGCTCCTTGGCAACCTACACTACCTGAATGGAAAAAGTCCTATGGGAGGGTAACTAATTGATATTTTCTGGGTTATGATGGAGGTACAGGGAGCTAGAAAGGCTCCAGACCACTGGAGAGATGACAATATAATGAAAGGGTGCCTTATAACCAAGGCAAACATGAGAACCCCAAACCACACGCATGAGAATTTCACCCACATATTCTCCTCTGAAAAAAGATTTTTCAAAGTTGTTTATTTCTGAGCAAACTGAATCAGAACAGTCAGGAAAAGGTGGAATTTCTAGCCCAGCACTAGTATATGGCCTGCTTTGGGAAGAAATATAGTCACTCCCACAATTGGTTACATGCTTTGCACTTGGGAAAAATGGGAGAGGAGGATACTCATTTAATGTAAGTGAATGGAAGTTGTTTGAATGAAAAACGTAAGTAAATGGAAGATGTTTGAGTCTATTTGATTTGCTAGGAAAGAAAGGGCTAAAATGATGAATGGGTATGAAGCTTCTTTCCATTGCCTCATTCAAAGTCATTGTGGTGGGTTATGGCTGGCAGCGGAGGTCCCCTTGGCAATTGCCTCCTAAGCAGTCATTAAATGCTATGGTTACATTCATCCCACTGGACATCCCTAAACGATCTGAGCAATCTGGATTGCCAAGTTTGCCGTTGACATATAGGATTACTGAAGTCAGAGACACCGAGAGACACAAAAGAAAGAAGATATGATATGAAGGATATGTTGATTGTGTAATATCATTTCTTTCCTCTCACAACTCCATGGGGCCACGGGGGGATGGGTGTCATACTTTACATATAGTAGCCCTCTGTTTGAAGGGCTGACAGAGAAAAATCCTGTATTTGAAGAACTGTCAAGTCTGAGTCCAGTTTAAAAACAAAGAACCATCAGAAAGCAAAGCAGTTAACTCCAAGACACTAGTAATTTGCCTGGTTACAGTATGAAATGTATATGTTATTGAAATGATTATTTTGAAATTTGTATCTGTACATATGAATCAGAACATGGAAATTTTATGCAAATTAGTGGTTTCATCCTATTTTTTAATTCTCTCTGTTTTGGGGGTACATACATGGCCATGTAATGGTCACAGTACATAATTCAAGCAAATTTTCCATATATTCTGTCCGAACACTGACCTTTTCCTGTAGGCTTGAACAATGGAAAAGAGGAGCTTTCTGGTTCCATCCCAGAAGAAAGAAGCATAATTCCCATCAATCCATATAGGTCAACCTGTGCCTTGGCTGGTTTATTCCACAAAGTGGTTCATTTTCTACTCTGTAATTAAAATTTAAAAATTCACTACCACTAGCTAATACATAGGCTAATACACTGTACTTGAGTTAGACAAATTCCGATTGAATGTCTATTAGTGTCTGGTAGGTATGATGATAACTGAATGGGATGTTGATATAGAAGAATACCTCTTCCAACCACCGGGGACATAGAATATGTCTGCAGACATGGAAGAAAGGATAACCACCAACTTCATGCTTTTCTTATGAGCTTCTAGATACTTCTGGCTGGCTATGTAGAGAAATAACATGGTAAACCATGCCTTGGCCCAACCTAGGACTTTTTATGGTCTCATGAATTTAGCCAATTGTGCCTTAGTCAATTATGATGATAATGGTTCCCCATTAACTAGTTCTTATGTGCATTTTCTCATGTTCTCTGGCCTTGGTCCCTTAGGAACATAGAAACAGAGTGAGTCAGAAGGGGCCTCCTGGGTCATCTCGTCTGAGCCCTGGCTCCAGCCAGCTCCGCTCATGACATGCTTACCATGTCCATGCCTACCCTATCCTTAAACACCCTCACGGATGGGGCTTCAACCACCTCCCACCGCCGATTCCATACCCTAGGGGTCCTAACCATCAGGAAGTACTTCCTGGCATCCACCCTAAATCTTGGTTCCCTGAGCTTTGCTCCATTGGAATGTGTCCTGCCCTCCACTGCAGGGGAAAAAAGGTCATGACCCACCTCTGCGTGGCACCCCCTCACATACCTGTCTGTTGCTAACAGGTCCCCTCTGAGTATCCTCCTCTCTAGGCTGAAAAGACCCAGCTCCCTCAGTCTCTCCTCATATGGCTTACCCTGCAACCAGCCACCAACCTAGTGGCCCTTTGCTGTACTGATTCCAACCTTCTTGGCCTCAAAAGAAGGGGTTCCAAGGTGGAGGAGCCATTATCCATTTGATCATTGTCTGTGAACTTGGATCTTCCAGGTCAGAGATTTGACTAGAATCTTTGGGGTCAGAGGATAACACTTGATAAAGTCTCATGCTGGATGGCCTAGCAGCTGCTGAATGAAACAATGGCCTAGTATGAGATGGACAGTTCTTCAGAGAGTCTGGAGCTAATACCAGTCCCAGAAGGCTAATACCAGCCTTCATAACGTCAGACCATCTCTTCCTGTTGCTAAGACAACAGCTCTTCCTGAGTGAGTTCCAGCCAGCACAAATCTGTCCAAAGTCCTGCCTTGCCAGAAGTGCCCCTGCCTTGCTTTCCTAGCGAATGTTGCTGGTTCAGATTGGCTTCCCCAGGAATCATGAGCCGAACATCCATGAAAAAGAAACTAAAGTGGTTTGCTTTCTACCCTGTGAGGTTTGGAACTGGTGACATTTCTTCTCTTGTAACCAATTCAAAAAACAGAGCTGTAAGCTGGCAAGAGCTGCATAGTGTCTTCAAGATTTTCTGCTACATAAGAGTGACTGAACTGAGATTCTGGCATGAAAGTAGTCCAAAGCAATTCATTGATTTTAACATTATGGCCAGTATTGCTCCATTAAGCATCACATGGAACAACCATGCCTAATTTATCCCACTGATCTCTTTAAAATAATGACACATGTGAGGCAAGGTAAAAACATGGTTGTATAAAGAAAATACTTTGACTTGCAGTATTATACTCCAACCTTCCCCAACATGGTAACCTCCAGATATTTTGAAGTACAACTCACATAAGTCCCTGCCAGTATAACTAATCAAGGGTGTTGAGTTTGGTAATCTGTCAGCATCTAAAGCGTATCCGGTTGGGGATGTGCATTTAAGTATGGATTTACTTCTGAGGAGACATGGCTAGAAATGGGTTATGTGTGTCTGTCTTATAATAGAAAGGTAATGAATATTTTAAGGCAGTAATGGATAGTTTAAGCCAAGGCATTTAAGTGGGACTGACTTCAGTTAAATAGAGATTTAGTGAAAGCCTCCAGTTTTACTCTGTGCCCTGAGTCACCCCTGTAATGACATGTTTTGCGGAAAGCAAACAGAAAAAGTTTTCACATTCAAGTTCTCTCCTGCATGGGACAGCTGGCATGACTGATGGCAAATCGAAAGGTAATCACAATTTTATTTTTCATTTAAAAGGTTAAATGCATTTGTTTGTCTGAGAACTAAATTGGAAGTGTTGGTTTTTATGGTTTTTATTTTATCTAATGTGGCTTCAGTCATGGTTTTTTTAATTAGTGTTTTGCTAGCTTATTCAAATTAATTCTTTACTTAAAGACCAGTCTCAATGATCAATTCCAATGATGATGCAAAATTAACAGTTCCTTTGAATTTTGGCACAAAAAGACATGTGATTCACTTCAGGGGTTATGGTGTTGGATCCTAATGGCATCCCAACAAAATCGCAAAATAATCTTCAGTGCTATGTACATTATGCAG